TCCGCCCATTCGCTGCCATTTTTGCCGCACTTGAAGTGTCAGATGATCCACTTCCACCCACTTTGACATGTGCACGTCAGATGATCCTCAACAAGAATGGATCCTCGCACCCGATGCAAAAACGTCTCATCACAGTCCTCCCGATCTTGTATCTGGCATATTCAGGTGCTCGCTTCCGCCAGCTAAGAGGTTGGCAAATCAATGCAATGCCTACCCAACTCGTTGGAGGGGTTCAGGGTAGAAATATGTCATGTATACAGACTCAGATGAAACTTGACATTGATATTGCGTGTGCACAAGGGTATGACTTGATTGGCATGAAGCTTGATAAAGCGAAGTGTTTTGACAGAGTTATTCCTTCCTTTGCTTCATGTTTGATGTTGGCTTTTGGTATTGACCGGAAAATCGTCACCATCTTTAGTAAACTGTATGATGGCTTGCATCGTCACCTGTCCTTCAAGAGTTGGTGTTCGCCCACCGCAACACACGCAGCGAACGGAATTGCACAGGGAGATAGCTTCTCTCTGGTTGCTATCAATGTCTACTCGAAGGTCTGGATTGTGTTCATGAATTTGCTCCCAGAGATAGTTGCGATGGCTTACATCGACGATGCCTACCTTTGGGCAAAGTTAGAACATGCTAGTAGACTGGCGCATGCTGTCGAGATCACTAGGTTTTGGGACCTCCTGTCAGGTCAACAGCTCAATGACAAGAAATGTGTGGTCTGGGGAACCTCGTCGAAAGCACGCAAAGTTTGTAAGCAAATGTGGCCTGAAATGTTACTCCAACTTGAGGTTGAGGTGCTAGGAGCCACTATTCCCACTTCCAAGCGGCTCGCCTACCACTTTGAAGATAGTAAAACACAAGCCATCATCAAAGAGATCAAACACATTCGTGCTCTTCCCCTTCCGGTGTCGACCAAAACCATGTTCATTGGGGTCAAGGTGATTCCTCGGTTTTGCTTTGCAGCATCGCTCAATCAAATTCCCAAAGATGTGATGAAGAAATTCCAGTCGGAGATCGTGCATTCACTTTGGGGTAGACGTCCTCATTGGAGGTCCCGAGCCTTGGTTCTTGCCTTCATATCGCAACCTCATCGTAATAACCCTGCATGTGCCCAAGCTTATCATGCAGTGATGGAATTTTTGCGATTTTTGAGGATGCCGGGAAATGGTCTTGACAAGTGCCGCTGGTCGGCTGCACATTGTACAAGTGAACTTGCTTTCTTGTCCAAGATCAAAGATGCTTTCCGATTCTTTGGCTCTCCTTGTCACAGAATCTCACGCTCTCGTTTGGTGGCAAAGCCCTCATGCCTGCATGAGATTTACACCCCAAAGACATTAAAATGTTGCTGCACCGTTTGTCTAGGCACAGATGTTATGTTGAAGCGGCCAACCAACACCGGAAGGACTTTCGGACTCCGGCAGGTGTCCTTGATTTTGACCTCACCTGTGGGCTCCGTGCGCAGTCCAAAATTCAGCATGATTCCAAGGCCCTGGTCGAAAGCCATTTCACGGCCCAACCTGTTGGCTGCACATTAACTCGTGACCGCCTCCATGCAGCATCCTTGGATGCATCTGATCAGTGCCGTTTCTGTGGGAGAGTAAAGGAATCTCTCTCCCACTTAGTTTTTGAGTGTGAGGCGTACCATGCCATTCATCCTCCTGAACCGGTACATGAGTATGGCTCCAACTTTGGTCTTCTTGGTATTGTTGAACACCCCATTGGAATTATCAAACACAGATTGCAATGGAACGATCCTTCTGATATAGTTGTTGAAGACTTTGACCCTGTGTCTCCGGTGACCTCTTGGTGGACTGACGGGTCAGTGTTTTGGCCTGATGTCTTCTGGCTTTCAACTGGAGGCTTCTCCATTGTAAATGGACATCAGCAGGAAGTCTATGGTGGCCAGGTTCATCACTTACACATCTCGTCATACACCACGGAACTTTGGGCAGTGGTTGTCGCCATTCATAAGTGTTCCGGTCCGACGGAGGTTTTTACAGACTGCCAGACAATCGTCGACCAATTCGCCATGTTGAGAGCTCAAGGCTCAGTACATGAATGCTGGTCCCACTTATCTTGGTGGCAAGCGGTGAATAATCGATTGGCTGTTTTGCTTAGATTGCATTCTGACCCCTTTGTTGTGTCTTGGGTTCCTTCTCACCTGTATGAACACCTCCCTGAGATTTACATCACTGCGGAGATGGCTGCTGCAAAGAATACTGAAATCAGACACATCATTGGCAACCGATACGCTGACAAATTTGCCAAGAACCATGCCTTCCAGGCCACCAGTGTGAGTCCAGAGGACGAACATATGTTGAAGAGCAGCATTGTTCGTAGACAGGATTGGCTGACGCAGTTGAACCTCGAAATCGCCTCCCTCCAGAAAATCGACCAGGACAGTAAACTTGAAGCTCGTTTAGCGGCTGAAGAAGCTTCAGAAGATGTTTTTGTCCTCTTTCCTCAATGGAACTGGGGAGCTCAGATTCAGGACTTCCCATGGACTCCAACGTACAATTTTCATGATGCAAGTATCCCTTCTCATTGGTCCAGCAAACCACATGATTGGGAGGTTTTGGGCTCATTTTTTGAATGTCAGCACTGGCGGCTCGCAGAGGATGCGGTTACCTCTTATGTAGAGTTGGCTGTGTTGTTTTTCTTGCAAGGCTTCCGACTGCCTTCCCAAGATACATCCATTAACACCTTCCGTGACCTCACGACTGAAGTACGCCAGTTTGTCAACCAGGTTCGTGGGGATTCAGGCACCTCTTTCGTCCCTGGCTGTCACAACAGACATCGAAATAAAAGCATCGGAAAATCGTTACCGAACGGTACAATTGACGGAGCTGAGATTTTCATGACACATGACATTCGAGTTCGCTTTGCTCGCATCCTTGCGGGTGTCTCCACGGCTCGCTTGCAAGCATGGGCCTTCACGATGGACAGCGCAGAGGCTTAATTCGGGGTTCACATGTGAAATCATATGTGTGGAGGACACCAGGCAGAATGCCCGGTGTACCAGACGAGACTCACTCGCCGCGACAGGAAGAACAGAATAGACTACCTGGGAGGTCAACCTACCCTGGTTTAGAGCTCCGGCTCCAGGTTTTGACCCACTGCCATATGGCCACATGCCAAAAAACAATCCAAACGCACATCCTAGTGACACATTCTTTTGAAATACACTGATTCGCTTTGGAGATACCTTGAGATGATTTTGGTGGACAAGTCCATTTGCTGTCCTTTGAGAGATCGGTTGTTTGTCAAAACCAAACATCTTAGAAAACAAAAACAGTGACGGGTTGATATCAGTCAATGGTGGACTATACCTATTATATAAATAAACTATATTGTTTACCTTTAACTGTCTTCATGTCCGGTGGTCAACCAGAGTCATGGCCAGCACAGGTGGGCACAGTTGTTCCGAATCTCAGGGTTCATTTGAACTCCCGTCAGTTCTGACGAACCCCCTCCACCACTCAGTAGCGCTCCAGAGTTGAATTACTCCAGTCTGGTCTGAAATGGGACCGACTCAGGACGTGCAAATGTGGAAAAAAGCAAGTACAACAGGGATCGGGGAGTCTGGTGCGTTGTTCGGGAAGTACCTTGAAAAATGGTAAGACACCTGTCAATAGAGGGTCATGTCTCATTTTGCAGGGGACTGGAGCTTCCAGGCAAGTTGTTGTTGCAGCCATGAAAACCAGTGCTCAAAAACATAAATTATCAATGGTTTGAGGCATTGACAAGTTCTAGTACTTGCTTGTTTTGCCAGATGATGTCTTGGGAGAGTGCTTTTATGCAGACTGCCCGTGTTTGATTTGCTGGCTGTTTGTTGGTTTGTCCTGGAACCCCTTTGCCGTGCAAGTCTCATGCAAACATTGATCTGAATCGATCACCCCGGAAACTGCATCGATCGCGGCTACGAGGAGTTGGACTTTAACAGACTGAAACAGTACAACAAGTTGGGTCACAGCCTCAAAACCTGACTGGTGCTTAGTAGGGAATAAGGGAATGAGCCCCCAATAGAGATTCTATTGGATCCATTCCCTCATTCCCTGCTAAGCACCAGTCAGAAACTCTGATGGGTAACCAGCCTTGAGAGGGCCCGTGCTGGTACGGTTTTGACTGACTGAGAAAGTGCAGCGACGTCTTACTGCACTAGCCTTTGTGGCTGAACTGTCAGTTCCATATGTAAAGCATTGGTTCAATATGTGATGAATGCAAATCATGGAACCCACAACTGAATCAACCCACATGAAAGAATCCATCAATGAATCATTGCATGATCTTATATTTGTTTCATTCATTGAACACTGCATTACAGTATTTCCCCGAACAAACACCGCTCACAGCCGCGGCCAGCTAGGGGGCTTAGAGTTCGGAGCGCGTGGCTGGCATTGGCTGGCCACCCTCCACGATCAAACATGTTGATCGAATTGGAACATCCGGTTACATTATTGTTGCAGAGAACGAGAAAGACTGACGTGTCGACACGGCAACAAAAACTGCCCAAACCAGCACCTCAGAAGCTGGGACCCCAGCCAGCACCATTACTTTGAAGTGTCCCAGGAGCTTTCACCCTGAATTGCGGTCTTTTGGTCGTGGATCAAGGAGACAAAGGATCCAACACATGTGCCGCGGCGGAAAACAAAAAGACACCGGCCGTTCTGATCTTGGAATGAAGTGAAGCGTATAGATCAAAACACTGTACCTTCTCTCTAACAAAGCAGGGAATGCTTCGCCCGGCGTGTGGTTTTCAGAGTTGGAGGCGTCCTATCGGGGCCCTCAAGGTTTCAAGGTGTCCGGATGTCCAGGGCTCATCAGGGTTCATCAGGGTTCCAGAGAGCAGGGTTCATTCAATGAAGATCAAGGACTTTAAGATGCTTACTTTACTTGTGACAACTTTATGTGAGTTAAGATGGCCGACTTAAAAGTCATGATCTCATGAAAGTCGAGTTAAGACTTTAAGATTCGTTTGATGATGACTATTTATTTATATTTGCTTGGTGTGCAGATCTGCTTTCCGCCATGGATGCCATCTCGATGGACGTGCGGATCCTGCAGTCGATTCCCACCCCAGTGGCGGACGCCTTGATCGCCAAAGGCTGCCGCTGGGACAATGGAGAAACGGGGGGAAGCCGGCCGCAAGGCGCCGCGACCGGGGCTCTGTAAGGTTGCCAAAAAGCATTGGAACAATGTAAATCTAAACCATGAGTTTAAACCAATAAGCATTGTAACAGTTGTAACCCCATCTTGTTCACATTGATAAACCATCCCACCTACCCACCGCCGGCTGTCAAGAATTGGAACCAGCCCAACCCAGCCGCCGTCCACACTGAGGCCGCCAAGCCGCTGGGGTCCTTGCGCGCCCTGAGGCCCTGAAAGAGGTGTGACGGGTGTCGGATGGGAAGGAGGTTTGACAATGGGATGAGAACAAATATAACTCAGATAGTGATGAGATAACGTGTATATCGTCACAAATCAGTGATGAGGAAGAGGAGATGATTGTTGCGTCGTGGATGAAATAATTATGAAATCACCTCCATCGCCTCAAGTCTAAACTGGATCTGGGTGCCAGACTCCAGCTTCTATGAGGTTCTATCCTTTTCCAGGGTAAAAAGCATTGCGATTAATTGCTCTATGACAGGCCGATCGAATCCGATCTTCCCCAGAGACTATGCCGATCTTCTCATTGGGCCGACAAAAAGAACCACCCTCCCATGACCAGGACCTGGCTCTCTCGCCGTTTTGCGTCAGGTCCTGGCGCAGCATCACGTGACGCCGCTGGAACAGCGGGCGGAGGCAATGCTGAAGCAGTGCCACCAGGAGGTGACCCAACCAGCAGCTACTTAGATCGCATGGGATGGGTACCCGGTACAGACAACTGACAGCTCCTCGAACTGAAAACCTTTGGATGTAATCATTTGACCATGTCGATACTGTGCAATGACTATGCAATGCCATTCTCATATTTTATAGAGTTTTCATGAGTTTTCCCTTTGTATATAATAATACTGATATCATTCGACGATGGAGTTCCACGGCTACAAAAAAAAGGGACTCACCTATTTTTACTTTGAGACCCAAACAACATGCTGTACCAGGTAAACAAGGGTCAACCTTTACCGGGTTGACCATTTGTTGGATTTGTTGCACTTGGACCAGGTCCCACAGGTCATGATGGTCAGTCACATGCCGCGGAACAGTCCAGGGCGGGGCACGAGGTTCTTTGAGTGAAAAGAATCTTCGAAGGTCCGCTCAGGCCGTATATAGCTGATTGTAGCTGTGTCCTTTTGTCTTTTACAGTCGGACCAGGAATATAACTATTTTGGAGATGTCAGCAGAAAATTTCAGCGTCATCCTGCACTGGGCCCTGATATACTATTTGTGTAATGCCCAACAATAGTGCCCGGTCAACCCTTAGCTATTAGAAACAAGTGCCACGCTAGTAGTAACAGGTGCCTTACTAGTAGTAACAAGAAGCTACTAGTAACAAGTACCACGCTAGTCGTGTTTGAGTTGGACGGCCTCGGTCGGCGGTCCCGTGACCGAGGCCTGGCGTCGTGCCGACAGCGCCTTGTCCTTGCTGCGCAAAAGCCAAGCTCGACGGCCGAGGGCCACACTGCCTTGCCGAGGCCGGGCGGTGGATCTGCAACAATCATGTTCAGCAATATTGCAACAATTCCTCTGACATATCATACAAGTCAGAGGATGTTGGAACATCGAAAACAAGAGGAACACCTGAAAGGATGGGCAGTGAAAGAGGATCTGTATAGACATGTTGGTTCTATCATGTTCTATCTAAAGGAATGACTCTATGTTCCTATACAAACAGGGCTCGTTCGCCACTTCCATGATTGATGGAGCGAGGGTAGCTTGTGAAGTTTGTTGTGGGGACCAGCTCGCCAATTTTGAAGTTTGGGGAAGTGTATGTAGATGAAAACTCCAAGCAGCCTTTGGATGGAATCATTACTGGGGAATAACCTGCGCAAGTTTTAGTAGGGAAGTGCCGATCCCTACGCTTCACGCTGAAAGCCGGCCACCCAAATATGGAATGGTGCCATGCGTTGCCAGTGCGATTCAGCTTAAACTCAGATTGTTCAGTTGAGCAGGAGTTCATCCAGCTGGCTATATTTCCTGCCACCGGTTGGTTAGTTGGATGGATTGTTTGTTTGTTTTTTGAATTGACCTTGAGGCTTAATTCCAATGTTTGCTTTATTCAGGACCTCTCCAGAGGTGTTGACTCAACTCTAAAGTTACTTGAGTCCAGTTTAAAGTAGATAAATGGATGGTCCAGACCATATGATGAGTACTTCACTTATCCACCTGGAAAAAGAACTTCTTGGATGGTCCAGACCTCCATGATTCCCAGGGTCCTACTGATCATGCAGCCTTTGATGGCCGAGAGCCTTTCTTTTGTCGTTGTTCTTCTCGGTCGACCAGCGCAGGCCTTGACCAGCTCTTGGGCAACGCCTTGTGTGGTGGTGGTGCCCTTCTGGAGGCCGGTTGTGGCCGACAGTGCCCTGAGACCGGGCACCACCCAACCGGTGAGGTCTGGACCAAGTCGAGCACCGACAGCTCCACCAGCCCGCCGCCACCGATGTGGGGCCGGGTTCGACGGTTGACATGTCGTGAGAAGTGTGTTGCTGAACACAATGGCAATGGGAATGTCAATGGGTTGAGCCCCCCCCAATAACCAATTTTTAGTGCCTGATTTGTCGACCTATAAACAAGAGGTCTTCAAATGAAAAACGCGGTTTCAGAGAATTTACCTTGAAGGTTTTTTTTCAAGGTCAGTTGTTCCCATGGTATGTATTAGAACCACAATCCTGTTCGGGGTTGATAGATACCCCTGATATGGCCCAATCACTACTTTTTTGTGGAAAACGGAGACATTGTAGACGTGGTTTGTCGTTGAGACTAGAGCGAACAAGAACGGTCATAGAAAGCCATGCGCTTCTGCTTGGTTTGATTGGTGGAGATCACCAACTGTCGGACGTTTAGCAGCTTTAAGGACGATGAGACTTTGATGAATGGTATTCCGTGATTTGATAACACCTGGACTCTCCAAACTTGGGCATGAGCATGACCTTACACTGGACACCGCGGTACACACTTGCACAAGTACAAACTGAGAGTCCAGGTGTGTCAAGATCTAATATTCCCATATATGGCAAGACAGCTTGGTGTTGTGCATGCTTTTCGCCCAGATCAGCTTACACCGTACTTTTTCGCTACTGGTGCATTGCCAAAAAGTGTGACGGTTTTGAATTGTGGAACGTTTCTTTCGTTGTCGAGACTTTCATCATACATGTCATACTGCTATACTTGAAGAATGGTTTTCGTGTACCCAATTGTACCCCATCGCTCTTAGGTTGGAGGCCATCGCTAAAGGTTGGAGGCCGCTACTAGAAACAAGAAAAGGTGTAGTTCCAATGTACTGCGGGACCTCGTCGGTTCAGTCCGTGGACCGGGAGGTCTGTGGCCTGCCGGGCAGCGGCAAGACGCAATTCTGCTTGCCGGGAGCTCCCGGAACACCCGGCCCCGTTGGTAGCGAGACTAGAATCGTGCACCTACTCCCCGGCAAACATAGAAACTGAGACCTGTGGTTGCGACCATTTTCCTCTACAACCCAGTGGTTTTGGGGTTCCATGTTAATCTGCAGGGGAGTAGTATTAAATATTTACACGGAGACCTGAGGATGTAGTTAGGATCCATGTCAGATGAGAAAAAGGGAAGAACGCCTCAAGAGATTCACCGCTTTCCCGGACCAAACCGACGAGAATCCACCGCTTTCCCGTTTTGAACGTTGACCACCTCTTCACCAGATGTCGGACCTGGGGGAACATGAGATACATCGTACAGAATGGTTCAGAATGGTGCATCATGTTGACTGATGCATGTCAAGATATGTCACAATTCTGGGAATCCGGGGGTTATGAATCAACAGTCTACATTTACTTTGCCTCATCCTATCTCACCCTCTACTCAGTGGTTTCGCCAGCACATACAGTGATGAGAATCGGGGGACGGGTGCGAGCGGTGGTAGGGAAAAGCTGCTTTAAGGTTGAATTAATGTTTTTGGGCTGACTTGAGATTAGATGGACATTTGATCTCTGGACTCTTCAGAATCAGGGCCTCCTCAAAGGATTGGTATTCTGAGCGACTCAGGCAGTTGTGTGCCGCGGTGCAGATCCCTTTGGACCCCAATGCACGCTTGGCAGAGGTGGGATCCGCCACAGCCAGAGCGGGATCCGCGTGCTTCATGGGACGACCGTCGGAATGCAAAACCGACTGATCCGCACTGCTTTTATGGGTCAGTTTTTCTTGTCTCGTTTGTATCTAACACGTCAGATCATGTCTAATAGGGCTGAAGCACCATCGCCAGGCACCACCACAGGGGTGCCAAACGATGGAACATGGCAGACGTGAAACCGACCGGTGAGCGGCGGATCTCTCTACGCGACGTCCATCCGCACCGAACGTGTTCGGATCCGTGAGGAATCCATCGACAGCTCTCGTCGACGGTGACAGTCACCGGAACGCATCGCGAGTTCCAATTCGAACTCGCGTCGATGGACCTAGCGCATGATCGGGGAAATACAAGATATACAAGAAGCTAGTGACCATCCAATCATGAGTTTCCAGCCCAGAAACAACCCCTAAGCAAACCTAAGTGGTCAGTCCGAGAAGCCCTGCTGTTGGAAGGTTCTGGAATAGAATTGATCACATTGAGCACACTCAAGATGAATGTAGCGACCGTCCAGGAACCTTCGTGAATTCAAATGATTCCCCTGTTGGGCTTCAAAACGTCAACAATTTTGCGCTCAGCCAGGTAGGTTGGATACTATACTGTACGCAGCCTTGCAAAAGATGCCCAACAATTGACCACAGCTCCAGAAGCCGCTGTGCCACATGCATAGATTCCCTTGCTAGGGTCTTTGGAGCCCTGGTTGTTCCATGAGCCAGCCAGGATGTACTTCCAGAGCTGAGGATATACACTCCCTGGAATTCACATGCAGTTGGAACATGGCTCCTTTGAAGACCCTTTTCCTCTCCACCACATCGTACGGCTCGATCCCGGTCCGTGAACTTCTTTGGCTTACACTGGGTGAGTAACGGAAATGGACAATATCAACGTGATAACATGAACAGTTTCGCAAAGTATCAAAGAGGTTTATGATACTCAATGACAAGTGGAAGCTGCAAATAAGCAAAAAACATCTTGGATCAATCCGAAACAAGTATTTAAGTGAGAAATAGTAAGAATCTACCCATGCAAGACTAAATGAACTGCTACAGTACCAGACGCCCACTTTGGGAGGCTTACAGAGAGAAAGTCCGAGATACTATCACAGCGACTATACCAGCTTGGCTCCAACAACTCCCAAACATAGAATCATGTTCACACTCTGCTGACTCAGGCATTTCCTAAGAAAAATGCCTCACTCATCTCTGGACAGACTTCTGGAAACTTGGCGGATTCGATCACTAAATAAGTCGAAGACCTTCCAAGGTTGGTCTTTGCTATGATCATCTCATGGCTGGGGGATATTGACGTGGATAGTGTCATGGCTCAGTTCGCGCCCCTCAAAAGGGAAATGACAGGCATGGCGAGGCCTGAGCCACAATGCCTACCGATTTCCTCTACAGACAGGGGCTTCTCCACAACATTCCACAACCATATTAGTTCTAGGGAGTGTATTTAGGTTTGGTTACGACGCCACGATCAAATACAGATCTCAGAACCCCCACATACCACTAAAAATCCTAGCTGCAGAGAACAGAAGGATACATCTTTGATGTGCAAAACATCTTTGGCAGACTGAGGGGATCAGCGCACCGAACTCCCAGCGGATCGGTCCTCACCAGGCCGTCTTTGTGGATACGGAGGGCTCCTTTGTGCCAGAGAGATATTTGCAGGCGAGAGCGGCCAACCTCGACATGTTCTTTTTCAAAAGATGTTGGCATCGGGCATCAAACAGATTTGGATTGTGTGTCTTTGAAAGTTCAGCTGGACCTACATAGGTTCGGGTTTATTAACTTGAAAGACAACAAGTTCGTGTTTCAATCTACCCATCCTAAGATCCTGCGTGGGAATGTGACTGCACAGAGTGTGTAGACGTGGTGCTCGTGTTTCTCCGTCTCTGTCACCGTAGCGCATGGTCTCCAAACTGCAATGAGTGATGTTTGGCTGAAGATCTTCAGCGATCTCAAAGGTCGTAATTCCTTGAGATGCCTAGGCATCGTGTGTTCAATAACCTAGGCAAGTGCAAACTGGACATGAACATTTTGGTTCACTTCCGATGAAATTGATCTCGTTTTGCACGGGCGCCACGTTTTGCAAAGGCCCGAGTCCTTGATCCATCTTGATCCGTGGACGAAGACTCATGGCGCAAAAACACGTTTGTACACTGAAAAACTGTTTGTTTTTCAAGAGTTCTCAGGATGCTCTTTGACCTCTTTGCATGCTCTGCCGCGACTATACCAGTGTTCTTTGTGGGTTGGGGTCCCCGTTGGGGTGCAGACTTGAGCCCACACCACTTGGCCACTGGGTCGTGTCACTGCAGCGTCAGATGTGTGAAGCCCTGTTGGCCGAACGGAGGCGCGGGAACGTGGGCGTCACGTGACGATGCGATCCGTCGTGAAAGAGCGCGATCCTCGTGATCGATCCAAAAGAGCACAGTAGTGGGACACAACCGTTGGCCACAAAGCATGAGGGTAGTTAGTGTAGACAAGCCTACATTGAGCTCTAATAAACATCAATAAACCATCCCAATGTAAGTACATACAGTGTGCCAGTACAAGGAGTATGTGGGCAGTATGTGTGCGCGTGGATGGCCATCCAAGAAGAAGAGTCACATGTTGCGCATCTTGCAAGTCACCGAAGACTTGTAGATGTCAAGAGTGTGTCAGGAAACTCTATCCAGTGTTATGGAACCTCCTCAAAGATTCAATACACATCAATACTCCCTCATGATATTCCCTGTGTATGCAAAATACCTTGGTTGTCCACAGTACTCCAAGTCCATATGTCGTAGATTCAAGTTGCGACTGTGCCCCCAAGTACCCAAGTGTCACCCACATCACCCGGACCGTCCGCGTGTGAACCTCGGATTGGACGACCGTTGACGACCGTTATCCGGAAGAAAACAGAAGAGAGACCTTGTTTTCCCATTTTGGTGGGTGGAATAGATGATTTTAACATGTTTATGGCACATAGAGGTAACCAACCCACAAATTTGTTGAGGCCACACTTGGATCCACCGGCCGCTGCCAAACAGCTTGAGGCCAGGTGGTGTGGCGTGTCGGTGGAGTTACGGCTTGGGAACGGATTCCAACTGAGTCCAATTGCCCAGCAAGTGAAACAAGGACAGAAACTGCCAGAAGTGGTCTTGGAGGATGATGTTCTATACGATCCGGGAGGGTTGGCTTGGCTTTGTAGAGGCTTTGTAGTGGCATGTTCAATGGACTTCGCTTGATTTGCGGCTACAACCATATTGCAGGAATGAAGAGATGTCCAACATTTGTTGAATCAGAAACCCTTCAGGGTGACTTTCTATAGCAGTACAAAACGAGACCCAGAGCGAGGTCTGACCGGAGTTCCAAGCGGCTCCAACGCCGTTCCAGCTCATGAGCTGGCTTTGTTTGGTTCCCCCAGGTGTCAACATGTGTCGTTGAAGTTTCAACGACAAAAAAAATGACCATGGCGTCAACATCCGCCTCGTGTGCGGTTTCGGCCTGGTCCGGTCGGATGGGTTTGCAAAAAAAACATGTTGCCACCAGAAAAATGACTCGAAGGAGACCATGTCTGGCCAGAAACCCAAAAGGATGGTCCTTGGATTTTGAAGGTCGCATTCTGCATACCTTGTCACCCAAAGCATATTAGCCTCAGGTTTGATGGTATAGTATGCATTGTCACACTGTTGTCATCCTTAGCCACCTTCAACTCGTGACATTGGTCAAACAGGCTGCTTCCCTAAAGGCTTTGAGGGTTGGAAATCGCGCCCCGTGGCTGTTGACTATGGCACTTGCAACGCTAGCTCGACCAACGGCAAGGACCTGCTGGAAGCTTCGGACTAGTTCTCCAGTCGATCCGGCCAGGGCCAGGAGATCTCCCGTCTATTCAAAATACAGTATCCACATCATTCGTAGCTTGGAGGCCGCTAGAGCAGGAGGTTTGCTGGAGCTGCTCTTCAGCTCTTGCGGCTCCTCAAAAATGAACATATGCTTCATGACGAATAGAAGGTTTGTGGTCCGGCCATACCTGTCCGGCACCGGTCCAGCCAAGATATCATAATGAGAGGCCTGGGATGGCCTGCCTGGGTGTTACGAGGGCCCCCCTTATTAAGAAAACCTCCGTCGCATTTTTTTGAATAGGGGGTCCCTGAAATCGGGGGTTGTCCAAAATAGGGTCACCTGGGAAGAGCTTCAAAACCAAAAGGTCATCCAGGAATGTGTTTATATGAAATCATAAATTTAAAGTCGTATCAAAAATAAAAAACATCCAGATTGAAGGGTCTTCCTTTTCCCTTACAAAACCTTTATTGTTTTTTTTTGAACCTAATAATACTACACCAAAAATCGACCATGTTGGTAGTTTAGTAGCGGTTTGAAAGGGCGGTAATTTAAATAAAAACACATATAAACACATAAACCGTATTTAGGGTTTCGGACATGGTGTTCCTTTAATTGGGGAGTGTCTTTTACTAGGTACTTGGGATTATTGACCAAAATCATCAGGTGATCAGAGGGAACCAGCTCCACCACCTGTTTTCTGGGGATGAATTGCTGGCCCTAATCTCCTGCTATCAGGTTGGAGGCCATTACTACTAGGTTGGAGGCCATTGCTTCTAGGTTGGAGGCCACAGCTTCTAGGTTGGAGGTTGCTTCGATAGGTTGGAGGCCATTGCTTGTAGGTTGGAGTCTAGGCCATTGCTGGCCCTAATCCCCTGCCATATAGCATCTGTCCAAAAATGCCACGCATCGCGACCATCTGCGCCATCCCTTCGCGGACGCCAGACGGTGATGCGACAACTTCATGTTTGCCGTGCCGTGCCGACCTCAGAAACGACGGGAGGTCGTCGTTGAGGTCATAGTTGAGGCAGGTCGCATACACTCAGTGTTGGCATCGGATGAGGTTTGCTGAGACGAATGGCAGAGCTGGGGATGCGGGTTGTGGATGATCGCAAACACCTTGGTGGATGATCGAACGTACAAGCGGGATCCGAATGTTTCTTTGGACAATGTTGTATGTTTCCTGTGAAGACGAGGACGACCTGAGCCTCCTTGGGAAGGTATAGTACATGCAACGTACATGCATATATATATATATATACATTGTTCTAGTATTGTGAGTTTAGATGTAGCCAAGAGGACTGGTTTAAAAATTTACCTTTTTTTATGTTTTCAATACGTTTCTATTTATGTTTTTACAAAGTGGTGTTTTTTGGTTTATGATATTTTTATGATGTTTTTTTTTTAATGTTCTCTTTTATGTTTTATTTTATGTTTTTAATATGTTTTGTTGAAGTGCATTTTTCATGTCTTCCCTTTAGCGTTTGTGTTTTTATTGCTATCTTTCGGCAAATTCACCAATCGTTTTTGGCCTGTGGTTGAAGGTCCGTTCAAGGTTCTTGGTTTGCGAGCCAAATAAATATCAAGTATGTAGAAGGCCTGCAAAGTTTCATGTCCGTGATGTGATTGATAAGGGCTAGTGTAGCTCAGGACTCGCGAGGGCCAAAGATTGAAAAAACGGAGATGCTAACAATTAACGACTGAACTGATAGGATTCTAAATCTCAGACTTGCAAAGTGTCACGTGGCCTTGGGCCAAGGGCAAGGTTTCGCGGCATTACTTGCAGCTACGTTGGTATAAGCCACCAGGCATTTAGCAAATAGAAGCAAGGGAATATCAATGGCAGGTTCTATGCTGGAGACACGGTGCAAAAAACCAAGCAGTGCGCAAGGTTTAAAGTGTTTGACGCCTTTAAGCCTTTAAGTAAGAAGGTTTCAGTCTATGCTGATTCCCTCAAGCCTGTGAAGGCTGTGCCGTACTCAGGGCCACAGGGAAGGAAAGGAACAGGACTTAGCGTTTGCTCCCCTGGCTAGCTCTAGGTGACCTCCCACCTGCCTGGGACTTCGGACGCGCCAGCTCTCCAGGGGCCACTGCGCAACCTGCAGACCTAGCCGCCGCCTTCCCAGCCACCGCGCTGCGTCCTACCCCAGCCGCGGAGGCGCGCCGCGCGGAATCATAAAAAAAAACATTAAACAAAATCATAAATAAAACATACAAAAAAATAAAAAAATCATATCAAAAACATAAAAAAAATCATTTAAAACAAAATCTCCGAACCAGGCACATTTTTCAAAATGTTTATGATTTTTTCTGTTTTTTTATGATTCCGCGCGGCGCGTCTCCGCAGGTGTGGGTAGGACGCGGCGCGGTGGCTGGGAAGGTAGCGGCGAGGTCTGTAGGTTGCGCAGTGGCCCCTCGAGAGCTGCCGCGTCCAAAGTGTAGAGGCAGGTGGGAGGTCACCTAGAGCTGGCCAGGGCAGCAAACGCCAAGTCTGCCCGGCCTGTGGCCGGCCCTGTGACGCTGAGGAAGGGGCCTTTCATGTCATGAATTTTGCCATGTGTGCACGCGCGGCAGAGAGAAGCTTAGTCGTGTTCCTGGTCATGGTCAGTGCCTTGTTTGTTGGTTTGAGTGCCTGCCTGCTGGTTTTACTGGGAGCGGTCATTTCTACGTCTAGGCAGAAGTCTGGCTTTTTACGACGCAGTCAAAAGTGCCTTGGTTTGCGTTGCTAGAGCCTAAAGCCCGAGCCTTGCCTCAAGCTTTACCGGTCGTACCCACACCATTCACATAGGACGCAAAGTGCGCTAGGTTAGCGTGATTGACATATATCCAGGGCCTGTATTCGGATTGCAGGCAAATTTGACTGCTGGGAGAGGGCTTGCATAGTTTCTTTTGCAGAGTGAGTTTTTTCATTTATATACTTGGCTGGAAACCAATACTTTGCAAACCAATTTTTTCAACACAAGAACAATAGGACAGAAACAGAAACCCTGAAGACGCAATGACATTTAAGCATCAAGGAAATTTGATGAAAAAACAATGTACTTTATTAAGAAACATAAAAAACATAAATGAAAACATAAATGAAAACATAAGAAAAACATTTAAAACAAACATAAAAAATCATATAACAAAACTGCCAAAAAACAAAAACATAAATTAAAACATAGTGAAATCATAAAAAACATAAAAATCATAAAAAATAAATCACTTAAACGGCCTTGTGGCTCACATTTAGACTCACAATTCTAGTATGTTCTAGTCACAAAGTTGAATGGCTACAAAATGAGAAAACCATGGAACGAGGCCACAGGCGGGGTGTGGATGCCATGACTTTGGTTTCTTGGATCAAGGATGACCAAGGTGCGACCAGAGGAGTGGGTTAGATGGAAAACCTGAGCACCTCGCATGTTTGTTTTGGAGTTGCCAAGGGATGCCCAACATGTTCAAATGGGGGACCCAGTGGGGACCAAAGCAGATGGCAAGACAAAGCCTCACTCTGTGGAGGAAAACCCATCGAGCACCCCGAGCGTTCCTTCGGCGTCCGTTCCAAACACCGTTCGACCGGCCCAGTACGATGCCACCGAGCTCTACGCGACCATCAAGCAGTTGCCCAGCTTTCTCAAGGCAGACCGCCCATCCGTGGGTTTTGGGGTGAGAGAGATGAACCTAATAGCAATGGCCTCCAACTCCAACCTAATACCGATGGCCTCCAACCTAAGAGCGATGGCTTCCAACCCGAGTGCCGAAAAAATGAGTTGGCAATTCTGACAGGTTGTTGCTTGGGTGGGTTGGCGACGGTTGGTGTTGGTTCATTGGGTGGTTTTAAGCCATTTTCACGCACATGTTTGCCATGGAGACGAGACTCAACGTCAAGCAGCTAGGATAAGGATACACACACACACGATTTGGAATGATTTGGATGTCAATAGTTGGACATATATAACTATATGTTGTTCACCAACAGTACAGTGTGTTTAGGGTACAATCAAGATGTGCCATGCACCATTGTGTCCTTATCCACTGCAGCATACTTTTTACACCAGTACAATTGTTGAATTTCTTTGCAACTTATGGAACAGGTCTATTTGACTGGAGCACTGAAAGACAACCGCATCTCTGCAAGCACACTTTGTGTTATCATGGCTGAAGCGAAGTTACAAGTGTTATTGTGACCAAATTACTCCGGAAAATGTCCCTCAAAACACCCGTCAGATCTGACAGGTCAGATATATTTCCAAAACATTTGCTCAGCTGCGAGCTGTTCAAGATTTCGGACTCGGACGATACATCTTGCACGCGTGCGCAGCTGACGCTTTTGGGCACCTGGGTGACACACACACACACACCGCCATGAAGTGCACGAAGGGACAGAATGGCAGGCGGATGTCGCGAGTACATCACAAGACGGTGCCTTGGTGATGTCACGGAAAGTGGCCCCAGTGACTACTCTGTGTTTCAGCCCCGGCGGTTGGGCTTTAAAATCAGTTAACATAGATCGACGGATGTACTGCAAAACAATATGTACTGCAAGGTTACCACCGATTCAGCAGGGGATTCAGCAGGACTCCGCAAAGAATTTGGAAGGGCTTAGAAAGGTGATTTTTGACCTGCAAACGGAAACATCCCCAACACTCCACCGGGCGGATTAGGGGGAACAAGTAGGTCATATTTGCTGACATGGAGAGTTTAGCTGCCAGACGGCTTCTGTAGCCAAATGTAATGTAGCCAACAAAAATAGTCCAGATTTAGGGTTGCTCTCAGCCATCGCAAGCTTGCAGAAGGGAAGGAGGTCAGGTTGTGAGAGCTATGGAACAAGTAGTAGAATTCGGCTGCGCAATCGTAGGCGGCAGAAAAATAGGCCTGCGGCTGTTGATATCGCTATTGGAACTCACACTGGGGATTCTTTCGCGGATAGGATTCTGAGAGGCAGGAGTAGTAGCTGTGGGTATATGGAGGAGGCAAAAGATTTGCATTCATAAACCCCGGACGATCCATCATCATCTATTCGCATGACCCGAAGCCCACATGACCTGCATTAGTTTTGACGCAGGACCTGGTTGCATCGGCGCATCACAAGGAGGTGATTGAAGCCCGGAAGGCCGTTGGACTCTTCCTGCTGAAGCATCGATTTGACCCGGGAGATGTGAACTCAAGACCCACCGGATGGTTGTCTCGCTGCGGATGGGCGACCTACCCCTTGCATGAGGCGGTGAAACAGAATGACGCCTACATTACATCTGCCCTCTTGATGTTTGGGGCAAACATGGAGACCAAGGACAGCTGGGGCCATACTGCTTGTCATTATGCAGAAGGAGAGAAGCAAGCAGAGGTGAGAAAGGTCTTGCAACATCATTCCAAGTACTGCCTTTCGCCACATGCGCCATGTTTGTGTGGACATCCATGCCAGTATTGTCCCCCTCCTCGTGGTTTTGAAGAGTTCTTCGCCCACCTCGAGATGGATCCTTTGGTGCAAGTTCCTAGTAGTGAGGCGCAATGGCTGCTATTTCGTGGACCCAAAGCCTTGCGGGCGCACCAACTCCCAAATGGGTCGTTGGCACACAAGGCTTGCGGATCGGTTGCCGATGCAAAGCTTGCATCGATAATTCAACACTCCAAGTGCGATCTTGTCCAATTGTAGGGCGCAAGAAGCTACTAGTAGCTCCTGGCCTTACTACTAGGAGCAAGAAGCTACTATAGGAACAAAGGGCATCGCTACTAGGAGCGATTGGACGCCTACTAGGAACAAGAAGCTATTCGGCTTTTGGGAAATCCCTTTTGAGTGCCGCATGGCCACCACGGTACTGTCTGTATGGCTTTATGGGTGATGTGTGGTGACTCTTCCGTGATGAGTTTGGAAGAGAAGCAAGCAACAAAAATGCATTTCTGAAGACTTAAGACGCACCACATGATAAACCCAAATTTGTTAATGCTTTTTGATGCATGTTGGCTGGTACAGTCGCTCCATTGGGACGGCATGTGCGGGCCAGTGGTTTTGACAGGGCACACCTCGTCCAGAAGAGAAACTTTTAGCACATTGCACTTTTGGGGCTAGCTCACTCGCTGAAATTGTGTAAAGGTTGGTGAACATCTCCAGCATAGGATTCGCATTTCGATTTTTGTGGTTGAAGTTTGTTGGTTGGTTGTGCAAGTCCTTTTGCACTCGCTTTGCCACACTTCGTCACTGTTAGGGAGAATTGGAGCAGTTGTGCTGAACACTTCAATCACATGTTGTCTCAGCAAGGCAAGGTGGACCTGAGTGCTGGACTTTCCCAGATTTTCGACCACCGCGGGGTGGTCTCCTGCGCCTCTCGTGCGCAAGACCCCCCCTATCGGTTGTGGAAAGTCCGCTGTGATGTGTTCGACGGATTCTGGGAGAATCCCGATGGTTTCGACGTGTTGCCAGACTCCCACTGAGGGTCTGTGTTCAGCACAACCTTCCACGAAACGACGTCTCTGCGAAACGACACGAAACGACCATCGAGCCAAGGCCAACGCCTGGAGTGACGCTTGCGCCTGCGGCGTTCGCGGCGTTCGACCGACTTTTCATGACACCGGTTTACCGGCTTCATCAAGCGTACGTCCGAACAAGGGGGCGTGAGGTCTTTTTTGACTCAGCCTGGTGAGGTCCGAAGTAATTCCGGACAGGGTTCTTCCATTTTTGCAGCATCCTTTTGCACAAGGCGAACAGGCACACGAAGCACAAGCAGTCAAAAATGCAACTCACCGTTTGGTGGAGAACCATCAAAAGAAGGGGCCAACAAACTACACATGATGCAGTGGAGGGCAAAACTTTGTCCTGTTTCATTGAATCAGACAACTCTGGCTTTGTGTGTTGCAATTGGGGGTCAAATGACACCAATATATCCGAGGAAAGAAACAGAAAACAATAGAATTCATAATAGACCAATATATAGCCCCAAGTCGTGTGACCCCAAAAATGGAACCTTCAATGGGTAGTCTACCTATCCCTTTTCATATGGAATCTGGGCTTGGTATGTTCAATCCCGCTGCGATTCTGCACAGGCATAAACTTTGAGTTGGCAACAGATTGCATTTGTGTTTCTTGTTTCAATAGAACAATTTTTTGGCATAGGTTGCTCGCGGTTTATTCCTTATACTTCTATAATCCTATATATATAAATTGGAGAAACCATTGTTAAACTTGTTGATGGGAATCATCAAGTTGTTCCCTCGAGTCCTCGAGTGTAAGTTTTTAAAGAGCTTTGTAGTTTAAAGGAGTACACCATGATGTGTCCAGGAGTCTCATGCTTTTGCTGCAGATGGAAGTTGCCATGCAGTCAACTCTAGTTGCACAGGAAAGTGTGGTCGTGCGTATTTCTGGGGTACCTTTGTCCATGTCATCCGGAAGGCTGCAAATCCCGATTGTTGGCCCTAGATCCTGTCAGACCTGGGTTCTGTGGTTGTTGTTGTTGTCGTTTGTGTTTTGTTGCCCATAGAACACAGAACATAAGATACATATGATATGTAATTAATATAACATCGTGTAACAGCATAGAAGTATGCTTTTGGCTGGCCAGTGGCCACCAACCTCCAGCTATCTCGGTTTGGCTGATCTATTTGGTCCACAATCGGGTTCATCCCTGCCTGATTTGTGTGAACATGGTGATGCCCAGAGTCCGACGGCACTTGATCACGGGCAGCCGCGAAAAGGGCCGTGCGATCTGGTCGCTGTGTCCGTGCTCGACCGATCTGGAATGAGGGCTTGGAACAGGGCTTGCCTCGGTTTTGCTGATTCGACTTGTGAGTTCATGGTTAGATGTGTTCAGATACATTTGTGGAATGTTTGGATGTCCAACGAGTGTCGATTAAGACAAACAGGCCTTTCGATCTTCAGACCTTTAGACAAATTGATGTTTTTTGTGACGTGTCCAGTTTAGGTAGGACTGGGGTGTTCCACTTAGGCGAAGCATACCTCCGAAGCAAGCCTCCGAAGCATACCCCACAGGCAAACATCCCGGCCCGGAGACGTCAAAATAATACAAACCATTTGACGGCCAAGTCCATCTCGCCTAGTCCTAGTCCAGTTCGCTCGCAGGGAAGACCCTTGGTTGGAGCCATCGTGGTTGACTCCATCGCCTTCAGCTTCCGCCATGACAGACGCGTGGTGGAAGACGGCCGACACGTGGGGTCCCAGTTGAATCACAGTGACTCTCTCTCCTTGGTTTAGAAACAAGGAGATCAGTTGGATACATCAGTTGAATTGAATGACTTGATCTGACTGATCGCAAGATAAATGTGTTTGCTCCAAGATAAAGCTGTTGGACCAGTACCAGACTCCATTGAAGACTCTTGAAAGGTCCCTACATTTGAGCCAATCGGCTGGGGCTGTCACAGACCAAAAACATGAGGCTGGGATGGGTTTATGGAATAAAAAGGATATCAGTTGGTGAAAGGTTCCTTTGGATCTTGCCGGAAACCGTGCCGGACAAGATCAATGATCAGCATGGGAGCTGGGAAAAGAACGGCCGGAAAGAGCGGGGTAGAAAGAGTGGAAATAAGATGCCATGTTTGTATATATATAATGTTAGTATGTTTAATTATGCATGGTTGTTTGTTTCGCTGGATAAGTGCAGAAAAAAGTCAGATAATTTCAGAGAAGGGGCAGATGCTCACCAAAGTTAACGAAGATGCGCATTCTGTGTATAGTAATCATATTGGACTGGATGATGGGCATGATGTCCAGTCCCCCATCCAAGTGTCGCTTAAGAATCGGATGTGACTCGATCGTCAGACATGGTACTCAACGGGGCAGACATGGTACCTTCTTTTTTGTTCTTCCAAATGTGCTCTTTTGAGCTCATTTCAATTGGGGCACCTCAAATCAATTCGATGATGGACCTGGCGGAGTTCCAATGTCTTTGTGATCTCAGGAATTCCAACGAAAAACACCGCAGCGATGGAGAAACACCGATGCGAAGCCAGGAGTTGATGGAGAACACGGCTCAACGTGCTCGGGTCGGACGCGTCACTGACGTTGGGCTAGTGTGTTGGTGCCTGGAGAATGGCTTGGGATGGGGTATGTATTTATTGTTTAGTGTTGTTTTATTTGTTTAGGGGAAAAGTCATGTGTACAGTTCTTTTGTGTTTTCAGGCCGTCTGAAAATATAATTATATGATATGTTTCTGTTGCCCAGCTTTGCCGTTCCAGTCATGTCAACAGTCAAATGCCCTTTGGTGGGGCAGACACTCGGGGTGGAAGCCGATTAATTTCCGCAACAGAGGTAGTATAGAGCTGGAGTTCGCGAACCAATCACTGGAAGGGTCGGTGTGTGAGCTCCAAGTTGGAAGTGTTGGACCAGGAATTTGGGTTTTGATCAGGGAGCCCATGGTTTGATATGTTTTGGGGTGTTCGATCAGGGACTGGCTGGATGTGTTTGTTGGTGAGCCCATGGTATTTTGGGTTTGGAGCCGTTTTTGAGCCCGCAGAGCCCAAGAAACCCAACCAGAGGACCTCTCCTGTCGACTTGGAATCAGACAGAAGCCGACCGAAGGACTTGTAGGGCCTTCAGGACTTTAGATCGATCATCTCTGCTTGAAGTCTTCTGTGCTCGTGTAGTTCACGGAAAACTCGGGTTCACTTACACGTCCTCTCTGCACGGAACCAGTTCCTAACGTCGAAAAACGAACAGTTTGGTGTGGAACAGTTTGCCGTTTTTGTGGATGTGATGGTGATGGTCGGGGCACCAATAGGGACTCTTCATATTTTTGATGGATAGCACCCTGTCATGGAACTGGTACATTCTCAGGTCCAGGAACTCGCTGCAGCTTTAGACTCCGGCTGGTCCTATTCAGGTTTCTTTGTCCCAGCGGATCGTGGTTTCCATGTCTTCAGATGTTTGGAGGCCGAGGCCGGTTCAGGTGAGCCGTGGACCAGTCATGTGGGTGGTCTAGTGGAGTTCCGAGTTCCGGGCTGGGGAGGTGTGGCCCCAGCCTCTCTCCAATCACTACCAGAAAAGAAGAGCATTTGCTGCATCGAGTGCGTTTCCCGCAGCCTTGTGTTGGGCTCAGCTCAACCATGTTGCCGGCCATGGCGCAAGGATACCTCTCCCAGGCAACGCCGAAGCAAAAAGAATCACGGCGGAAGGTGCTTTCCCCCGGCCAAATGGATTTGATTGGATCTTCTTTCGCTGTATCAAACAGTCCACCATTTTAATCTGTTTTGTTTGACCTTTTGGTCCGTTGACCCGGTGACCTTTGTGTTTGTTCTCGGACCCTCGGACCCCTCGGACCCCTCGGTTCGTGCGCAGCGATCAAATAGGAAACAATGGAAAAGCTTCGGAGAGCCAATAGTCCATGGATGTAGCCCGAGATGCTCCGTGCATAAAATATTATCACCATACGTTTGAGAAAGGCCTTGAACCAGCGGAAAATCCACTGTTACAGGGAATGGGATGAATGGGATATACCGTGATATACCCAAATCATCGCTTCGTCTGCAAACTTGGAGTTCCATCCTCTCTCATTGGATGTGTTTTTTCAGTAACATTCAGTAAAACATTATCAATCTCTTGACAACCTTTAGTTTGCTCATAGGGAACATCCACGAACACCGGGGCACCTACCGCAGCATCCGGTTTTCGCCGCAGCATCCGTTCGCCGTGAAGTTCACCGGTCCTCCTCACCAGGAGAACAGTGGTTCCGTTGCCTGGCCAGACTCAGCTTTGAAGGCCGAGAAAGACGAGTCGTCCCTGTCTTCGTGCCAGGCACTCCCATCGGTTCAACAGAGTGTTTTTGTTTTTGTTTTAACGTGTGTTTTTCTTGTTCGTTTGAACATCAGGGACCTGGCTTTGATGAATCTAACATCCTGAACAATATGCACAGATTGTTTGATGTTATTTTTGTGGGGAAGAATCAACAACGTTCATGGGAGCTTTTTCAGTGGCCATGCTTTTGGAGAAGCGTCCCGTCATGGGAGGTATTGAGGTGAAGTCACCGCCTGGCATTCGGCCGATGGTCACTGGGTACACCATTGGGTGATATTGGGTGAAAAATGCAACAACCAAATTACTTTTGTTGTCTTTTTTCCCACTTGGGAAGGGTGACATTCCAATTGAATAAAAAGGACTCACACTTTTGATGCAAGATGCGTGCATGTGGAGTAAATAAACAAGAACACTGATAGATGCTGATCGCGCAGAAGTTGTGTTGCGTCTTGGAGTTGGCAACGTGTTGAGATGCAAACTTTGGCGTAGCAACAAAAACGGAACCTCGGTTGAACCACCAAAGTGACACGACGCGGAACGCGGACGCATCGCCGGTTCGCCAGGAAAACGCATGTGAGGACTCTCTGAAAGCCATGGGCCGCTCGGGTGAAATCGGTTCGGCTCCACCTGACGACACTGGACGCGATCGGAGTGTCCCGTTCATCCCCGTACGATCACCGCGGGAAACCTGCCATTGGCATCCATTGGCCGTGTTTGTTTTCCCAACATGTTTGCTGCAAGAAGTGGAGGCCATCCCTTTTAGGTTGGAGGCCTTTGCTAGTAGGTTGGAGGCCATCGCTGTAGTCTTTGCAGCGAAATCAACAAACGACTAAATGTTGGTTTCACAGGGTGCATTTTATCAAGAAAGCATCGATATGTTTAATGTTATATTTATTTAAATCAGATGTTGAGTGGTTCAGCGGGGTACAGGTTCTTTGCAGCCTAAATTGCTCAAACCGGTCCGACAAGGACGCGTGCATTGCCTGAGTTAGTGCACTGATTATGATTTCGAACTTCGACAGTTCTTTTATCCATACTGGCCAAATCGGTGTTTTCATCAACACCATGTTCATACTGCAGCACAACTCGTCCAAATACGGCCTTCGAGCATTAATACTTAGGATGATAGAATCATATATTTGATAATGCACCTCAACAAAGCAAGGCCCTTTGAATAGAGAGACCATTCTGAGGAGGTAATTGAGTCAGAACGTTCCTTTTGGATTCATTGGGATGTTCTTTAGACTCTGATTCAGTGGACATTGTTTAGTTTCCTACAAGTTTCTTGCCAATAACCATGTTGAGGTTTTACTCTTGGAGCTGCATTCACTTGGAGAGTAAGGTCACAAAGCCTGAAGCACAGAGGTCGAGTTCGCTTTCCAAGATTCTTCCACTAGGAACAAGAGAAAACAATCTTCTTATCGACTCCAAGAAAACCTGCTGGCCGACTCGACGCCGCTTTCTTCCATTTCTCCCGTCGTTCTCCGGAACCCGACGGCACCGGGTTCCCCCAGGTAGCTATGCCCTAGTAGCTTCTTGCTACTAGTAGTAAGGCGAGGAGCCCCTAGTAGCTTCTTGTTCCTAGTAGCGATGCCCTTTGCTCCTAGTAGCTTCTTGTTCCTAGTAGCGATGCCCTTTGCTCCTAGTAGCTTCTTGTTCCTAGTAGCGATGCCCTTTGCTCCTAGTAGCTTCTTGTTCCTAGTCGACACCGTCGACACCCGGTTCCCCCAGGTGAACTTCGTGCCTTTGAGGCGACCGAGGGTCTCGGTGTTTGAGACCGGACGAGGTCATTTCGACGGACCGTGCCCGGGACGGACCGTGGTCAGTCAGTCGAGGACCGGACCGGTGATTCACGGATTCTTTAGTGGGGATATGTGGTGAATTATTTGTCCATCTATTTGGAATATACTACACATTATATATACAAAGGGGTGCTTAATGGAGGTTAGGATGTGGTGGTTCAAAAAGGTACAGAACACATGTTGAATGAGATCCACTGTGTGGATGGTGTGCTCGCGTTCGTTGATCTTAGCATGCCATAGGGCCACACCATGTGTTGGGTGTCTCACAACCCAGGTGACAGATCCTCCACAGGCCCAGCAGAATCCAAAGTACGAACGAACATCGAAGGCATGTTCCTCCCAAATCCCCACACTAAACATTTGGAACCATTGCTTCGTTGCTTCATTGGCAATATGTCGTTTGTTCTCCAGGCCAGCGAAAAAGGAACGACACTGAATCAATGGACCACAATGGACCACGCTGCCAGCTGCAGGACGCTGGTCACACATGACCCGCCAGTTATTGGATGACTTGAGAGACGGCACGGACGTCGGTTGGTCGGATGGTCATTGTTCGTTGGTCGGGTGACATCTCCATAGCTCAACAAAAGAGAGCTCGTATCGCCACGGGAAAAAAAAACAAATTGGAATTCACCGTCATCCATTCACGGGGACCTGACTGCGCTTGTGATTTTTTGTTGGAGGCTGTCATCCAGGGGTCAAAATTCAGTGGTGTGCCTTCAAATAATGTTGTTTCATGTTTGTTAATTTTGCAATCTCCCCTCCATAGGGATTTTGTAACATCTCCCTGGGGGGTAACACTTAATCCATCAACATTGGGGTTAGAGCTTAACATTCTGGGCAAACCCAATGGTGGGGCCTTCACTCCGGAACGCGCCCTTCGTTCACCCAACTTTAGGTCGAAGAATAGATCCCACAGATCCCTGAACATGTCGTACATATATATTGCCTTGCTATAGATGATTTCAGGTTGAGGCAATTTGTTTTAGCAGTTTCTTCTATCGAACGCCCGTATCAACAGCCATGGGCCATGTTTGGATTCCGAGTCAAGCGGGGTCAAGTGGGTCAGGTCGCCAGCACCTGTGCCACGGAATCTGATCAGAGCAAAGCACGGGGCCTCAGCAGACGGTCCAGTGGGTCGTCCGACTGCTACGGATGGACCCAGGACCGTTGGACCGTTCTCTGGCCGGAGGCCATTGCTCTTAGGTTGGAGACCATCGCTAGTAGGATGGGGCATATAAAACATGATATATGCTCTGCCATGACATGCACCGAACGCGGCTTTTTGGACATGATTGGATGGCAGACCCGATGATTGGATGGGACTTGCAGGGACTTGCACGGGGTAGGATTCAGAGGTCAGCCCTTTGAGTCAGTCAGAATCTGCGTATTTGTTCATATTCATCACATGTTTTTGAAGTTCGAGGGGCATGCTGCATGCATATCAAATGCTTAAGCAGCAATGATATAGCTCGTCTCTATAAAGCCACTTGCCAAACGTTTCCCTGCTTTTCCAAGACAAACTCAACATAGCCCAACCAGAGCAAAGAGGGGGGAGAACCAAAGATCGAGGTGCTTCCAAACGGGGCGCCTTCTTCGGCCCCAGCCGGTTGGTTTCTTCGACGACCTTTTCGCAGGGGCTGCCCGGGATTTCCGAGAACTGGAAGAGAGGCCGTCGTCGGCCGTTTCCCGCGACGACCGGCGCCGGAAGAGGTCCGTCTTCTAACAGGGGGGTGTCGGACACGGTTTAGGACAGCGAAAGGCGAGTCTTAACGCGAAGAGTCTTCAGAGCGAAGTTCAAGTTGGAAGCCGACAAAATACGCAAAAACAAGCTGCATGTGGCTTGAACAATGTACTTCACGGTTTGCACATACACCCAGCATGGTCTGGGATTTACTAATATGGATTTACATGGATTTACTAAAACACTTGGCGAAGTGTTTCGGACTGATTTCTGAATTGCGGGCGCGGCAAACGTGCACACATTGCTATCACCCCGGTCATGAAACTGCATTGTCAGACTATGCCGTCCTGCATTGTCCTGCATGCATGATTCATGCATGGGACGTACCATATCGGAGCATTTATTATATGGAGCCATTCCATGGTAGAGAGAGGATCCCCACCTTCAAAACAATACACGAGAAACAGCACTTCATAATATGACTTTGCCATCAAAAGAGGGACTTCTCGATGATAGACATTGTCAGGACACCCCTTTTGGGTGTGGATTGGAGACTCCAAGGAATTGTCACAGAAATTACAATAGTTCAACCCACATTCGACAGCTACCATACATACAGGATGGATCCACCACACCCCTCGCCCCATTTTTCTGACATA